AAGTGTTAAAACAAGAAGTCCAGCCTAAGGCTGAGTGGGAGAACCTACAAGAGGCTGTCTCCAGGAAAGACAAAACTGAGAGAGGAACAGATGTGCTTAAACACACGGAGATTTACACTTTGGCTCAGTGTTGAGCGAAGCCCAAGGGAAACAGAGCAAATAAGAAAATTTGATGCAAGTATGAAGTCCAGGAAAACCCTAAAGTTAAACAGAAAAGAAATATAGTTAGACAGGGCTACTTGGATCAGTTGGGAATATTCTTCACAGTACATTTATTTTATTTATGTACTAACGATATGAACACTAAACATTAACTTAAAAAATTTAGTGTAATTGTGAAAGAATAGAAAGATGAAGACATTGGGGGGGGTTCAGGCTGAATAGGAAAAAGAAACGTGAATATTCTGCATGGGACACCAGCAGGCAATATCCAAAGCTGAGAAATTAAGAGGGGCTGGATGGGTGGCTCGATAGTAGAGCACTTGCCTGGCATGCCTAAGGCCCTGGGTTCAGTCCTCAACACCAAAGGGAAAAAATAAAAAGGATGTCATAGGAAAAAGCAAGTCATGAGAACCTACAGTTTTAAAGCACGGAGGAAAGTTCCAGAAGAAACAGCCAAACTAGCATCTCTAGGGAGGGACAATTCAAGATAGGTGAGGCAAGCTGCTATTTTTCTTAAGCCTACCGGCACTATTTAGGTTTTCTATTATTACTTTTATTTATAAATAATGAGTGAGTTGAAGATGTGGTACAGTGGTTATAAGTATTTGCTGCTCTTACAGAGGACCCAGGTTTGGTTCCTCAAACTCACATCTGGCAGCTCACCACAGCCAGCAACCCCAGCTCCAGGAAGCCAGTCCCTCTTTTGTTCTCCAGTAGGCATCTCCATACATGTGGCAGGCATAAGTAGACATACACATGAATTAAAATAAAAATCTAAAATAAAATGCATGATGATTTATTTTTAGCACTACAGTTATTTAACTACTAAAGTCTTCTCAGCCAGGCATGAGGGCACACTCAAGAGGCAGAGGCAGGAGGATTACCACGTCTGAGGCTAGCCTGGTTTACAGAACAAGTTCTAGGCCAATATGGACTACGTAGAGAAACTCTGTCTCAAAACAAACAGAAGGAGTAGGCTCTCCTTTGGACTGTCTGCTTCACTGTGAAACCGCCAGGTTTTTCTCATCTACAGTTCAGTTTTTCCAGGCTGCATTTTGACTGATGCAATCACTCGCATTGATTGTTGTCATTTTTTAATCTTCAAGAGGGCTGAAGAGTTTATAAAGAGACCAGTATGTGCCAACCTATGGGCAACCTTAAAACTCAGCTTTGAAGGTCATTTTGTGGAGTTGTAGAAATGGCTCAGCAGTTAGGAGAACTTGTTGCTCTTGCAGAGAACCCAGGTTTGGTTCCCAGCATCCTCATGGCAGTTCAAAACTGCCTATAACTCTAGTTCCAGATCTTGTACACTCTTCTGGCCTCCTCTGGACATACACTTGACATGCATATAGACATGCAGGCAAACACTCATACACATAAAATAAAAATGAATACCTCTTTAAAATGCACATAGACAGGGCTGGAGAGATGGCTCAGAGGTTAAGAGCACTGGCTGCTCTTCTAAAGGTCCTGAGTTCAATTTCCAGCAACCATTTGGTGGCTCATGGCCATCTAAAATGAGATCAGGTGCCTTCTTCTGGCCTGCAGGTATACAAGCAGTCAGAACACTGTATATATAATAAATAAATCTTTAAAAAAATACAAACAAACAAACAAACATTCACTTTAAGAAGGCGTCAGTAGAGAGACACTCTTTGAGAAGCCAAGAGCGCATGCCTGGAGTCTCAGCACTGGGAAGGATCAGGAGTTTAAAGGTCATCCTTAATCAAGGATGCACTTGAGGCTACATAGTTGGAGGCTAACCTGGGCACATGAAACCCTGTCTCAACAAAGGCAGTGGATAGAGGTATTGAGGAGCGAGAGAGACGGCTCAGCTGATGAAGTGTCTGCCGTATAAGCATGAGGACCTGAGTTTGAGCCCCAGAACACACATTTAAAAAGCCAGACACGGTGTCTCATGTTTGTTTCTTTTGTTTGTTTGTTTGTTTTTTGTTTTGTTTTGTTTTAAGACAGGGTTTCTCTGTGTAGCTTTGGAGCCTATCCTGGCACTCTCTCTGGAGACCAGGCTGACCTCGAACTCACAGAGATACGCCTGCCTCTGCCTCCCGAGTGCTGGGATTAAAGGCATGCTCCACCAACGCCTGGCCCCACGTTTGTTTCTAATTTTAATGTTGTGAAAGTCAGTTGCTAGAGTTTGTTCTTACACTATGGGTTCCAAGGGTGGAACTCAGGTCATTGGGCTTGGCTGTCAGCACCTTTACCCACTGACCTTTTTTCTAGTCCTGTGGTGTAGACTTGTAACCCCCATGCTAGGAAAGTACAGAAAGGCAGATCCTTGGATTGCAGGCCAACCAGCCAAGCTACTGATAGGCCCTGAGAGAGAAAACAAGGTTTGGATGGCACCTAAGAAACAACATCCCACTCCTGCCACCTCAGGGTGACCTCTGGATTCCACATATAGGAACACACACGCACACACACACACACACACACACACACACAAGCACCTATGCCCATAATAAAGATGGTTTGTATTTCTTGTGAAATTGGAAGGATAACCTTTACCACCACCTCAGAGCCTCCTCATTCCTCCCTGCAGGTTTTGCTAGAGAGATACAAGGAAGGGACAGGCATTTGCAGTGACCACACTGTTTCTGTTTCCAACTCACTACCGGCTTTGCTGGGAACCAGCCACCCCATGCAGGGACCACAGCACAAAATTGGCTTGGCATAATGTTGGAGGAGTTTCTAAGGAGTGCCAGGCTGAATCAAACTATTGTTCTTAGGGCTCTGAAGTTGCTAATGTGACTGTAAAAAATTGTGTGTACCTTGACTTAAAGGTATTCTCAATCTTCCCCAGACTCCTATTCAAGTTATCACTGGGTACCCAGCATGCCTAGCACCATAATGTCGGTTCTCAAACTATGGTTAGGTGCAGAAATTAGTATTATTTTCAGCTTCCTGGGGAAATAATCAGATCCTTCCCCTAAAAGCAGGTTGGGCTAGCTGTGAGGGAGGCAGAACTGATGGCCCTAGCCACTTGTGCAGGGGGGAGGAATGGCGGGCTGATGTCCCTGGTGACCATAGGAAAAGGCGGTATCTTCAATGACACTCTACTCAACCTCTCTTTTGCAGAACTGTTTCTAGCTTGAAAGCAGGTATTGAGTGACTCTTGGCTTGGGTTAAAAAGGGCCTTTTTAAGTTCCCTCTCCCGTCATGTGATAACCCAGCTTCTAGAGCTTCCAGTATCTTCCTCCAGCCAAGCCCTGCAGAGCCAAGCATTGTGACTTGGGAGGGAGGCAGGACTGGCACTCCTCTGTCCCAGTGGTTTATCCCGCTGCAATGAAACCTGCTCAGAAATCTGATGCCTAAACCAGACATCAGTACCTGGAGGACCAGACCTCGAGGTCAGATCACAGTGGCCTGTGAGTCATTTCTTTCCCAAGCAGATGGGAAGCAGGTGTCCCCTCTGCATCTCTCTCTTAAGCGGTAGAGTAAGTTCTAAGGCTTATAAATCTCAGTGGAAAAGTAAACATCCTTCCTTTAGGAAAAAAATGAGGAGATGGGGGAAATGTGTCAGAATTTCCTGGCCTGCTCTACTCTTCCAGTATCAGATCAAAATGGATTTCCATCAATGAAAGCCTTAGTCTGTCCTCCAACACCACCTCCAACCCTCCTGGATCTCCTGTAGCCTAGGTTGGCTTCAGATTCTCTGTATAGGGGAGAATGACATTGAACTTTTGGTCCTCCTGCCTCTACCTCCTCTGGAGTGCTGGAATTATAGACTGCATCATCACTCAGGGCTCATACACAGCTGGGGATTGAACCCAAGGCTTTGTGCATGCCAGGCAAGTACTCTACCGAGTGAGCCACATTGACACACACACGGCACCCTTGGGTAGGCAGTCAGGTTGCAGTTCTGCCTCAGTCTTACTGCCATGTCCCCTTTCTCTTCCTGGATGGTTTAAGTAAGAGCAAAATGCAACGGTTGCCAGTTCTTGAGACCTTGCTGGCCGTGGACCTTCTCCTCCCTCGGATCCCAGGCCATTGTCAAAACTTAATTCATAGTGACTTAGCAGGCCAAGCCAGTTGTAGAGGAATCTTTTCTAAAGAAACAAGCTTCACTTGGAGCCCGTGAAGTTGCTTCTGGGAAAGTCGGCCTCCTTTTCTAGAATGGCATCCCTGAGAACTCAGGGTCACACATTCAGAAGGTCACCAGAAGGGTGACATCAGCTCTCCTTTCTTTTAGCATTCAGGTTTGAGGGAGAGGGAGGGACCATTTCCATTATTCTGTTCTTTCTTTCGCTCTGTGAAGCTGACTGGCACACATTCTTGGGTGTTGTGTCATTACAAGTCCAGTAAATGATTCACACTGAAGTGACCTTTAGGGAACACAGAAGAAATCAGCTGGTGCAGGAGCTAACCGACCCAGTGTTGTTGTGTCTCCCCTTCAAACCTAAGCTCCCGGTTACCTTTGCTGGCCCCAGGCCTGATCATGTGACTTGATGCTAGCTCTAATCCTCAGGCAAAAATTACATATGTACCTCTGTCATTTAAACGGTGAGAACTGTGAAGGACTATGCAAATGAAAATAATAGCAATATCGGACTGGAAGCCCGGATGGAAGGACCCAGAACTATTACAAAGAAACATGCATATTTTGGCTCACTGATATTTTTTTCTGTTTTGCATTTGTTTACAATGGAATGCCAGCAAAAAAAAAAAAAAAATGTGAATTAGCCTTCGATATAAGGTAACCCTGGCTACCAAGGAGGATAAAAATCTTGCCAAGTGCTTACTGTGTCACAATGCCAGTGAGGGTCTGAACCAGAGAGAAGTTCTTTGTGGCTTTTTAAATAGTGAGTTTTAAATGTTCTTTTTCCCTATTCCCAGGAATCAAAGTGACCCTCCTGCCCATCCAATCCTTTCATCTCTCTCCATACTTTTCTGCTACCATCAAGGAACTGCCGTGAAAGGGTCCTTTTTAATCACTGTGACAAGGATCCCAAGAGTCATTCTCATGCACATGTATAATACTCTGAGAGAGCCGGTAAGACAACACCCTAAAAATGACAGGTTAAGGATGAGGAAATGTAAATGTTCCATGCTGGCCCCCATGCATCCATGCAAGGACTCAGACCCGGCTCCCCAAGCTCAGCTTTGTGTCCAGGCTGAGGAAGGAGTAGTTCTGTGTTAGCTGGCGTCCTTCTAATTAAAATGCTGGGCAAATGGTTGAATCCTGATGATACACTTTCAGCTAGTGTTTGTGCTTCTTTCTCATGCTTGTTTGTAAGTAAGATACATTATAAAGTAGGAATAATAGTCGTTTTGTTTTGATGCCAACATACTGCCTGCCTGCTGTGTTTCTAGAGAGTGCCATGGGAAGTGATTGGTGTGGGCCAGGAGGTACATTATAAAGTAGGAATAATAGTCGTTTTGTTTTGATGCCAACATACTCCCTGCCTGCTGTGTTTCTAGAGGGTGCCATGGGAAGTAATTGGTGTGGGCCAGATTCTTATCTTGCTATGTTGAGCATTTGACTATGAGATGTTTTCCTGGGGTTCTTTGCCTGGCTGCATTTTGGACACTTAAAGAGGTGGTTCTACCTGGCCCATAGCAAATCTAAGCTACTGCAGTCTTAGAAAACCTCGAGAAGGCTTCCTTTCTTTCTTCCTTCCTCTCTCCTTCCTTTCTTCTTTCCTTCCTTCCTCTCTTCCTTCCTTACATTTACTTATTTCTTTTATGTGTATGCGTGTGAGCCTGAATGAGTGTATGTGCCAGAAGAGAGCATCAGATTCTCTGGAACTGAAGTTACAGGCAGTTGTGAGCTGCCATGTGGGTGCTGGGAATCAAACATGGATCCTCTGCAAAAGCAGCCTGTGTTCTTAACCACTGAGCCCTACTCCAGTACAGGTTTCTTGAAGTACAGAATCACTTTTTATTTTAAATAGACTCAGGTCAGGTGAGTATTTTGTACCTATGCAACACACATCTGAATATATATTTCATTAATATGTATTTTACAGTCATGGATATGTACTAATATATTGGCCACTAATACATATATCTAATAATGCATGTAATCATTTAACATGTGTATTAGTTATTGATAATCATAAATCAATGAGAAGCTGAGAGCTTTCTGTCTCCCACTGAGCAAGGTATCTTTTTTTTCTTTTTCTTTTTTTTTTTTTTTGGTTTTTTGAGACAGGGTTTTTCTGTGTCGCTTTGGAGCCTATCCTGGTACTCACTCTGGAGACCAGGCTGGCCTCGAACTCACAGAGATCCGGCTGTCTCTGCCTCCGGAGTGCTGGGATTTAAGGCGTGCGCCACCAACGCCCAGCATGAGCAAGGTATCTTAAGCCCTTTGGGAAAACAGCTTCCATAAACCCAAATTGGTGCAAGAGGAAGGTCTCTCTGACCTGGGTCTAAAGGATTATTCATCACTCCCCAGATTCCACAAGTGGAATCCCAATTAGTGATGTCACCAAGATCAAATAAGACCTCCCATAGATCTTCTGCAGTAGCCTTAAGGCTTGGTCCTGTGTCTGCAGTGTCAATACTTCTCATAGCCACATATGGTCTCTCCTGCGTTAAAAGTCTCATTCACAGTCGCCATCAAGCGAAAACCTGTCCAGGTCAACTTTCATCCAGTTGAATTAACACTGGGACAAGAAAATGTCTATGTGAGATTGAGTTGTTCAGGGGTCCACAAAGTAGGCTGGTTGAGGATTAATAGCTGGTTTGGGGTTTGTTTTGTTTTGTTATCTCTGGGTGGTAGGTGGGATATGGCAGCTACCCCTTGCCCTGCTAGTCCACTCAGTTTTCATTTTTAAATTTTTTCAATTGTTTATTCGAATTCAGGTTGTCAGGTGTAGTGTACAGCACTTTTACCTCCAAGTACTATGCTTGCCAGCCTGGGATTTTGCTTCTTGGGTTTTTGTTTTTTCACAGTAGTTGGTAGGTAGAACTTGGTGAACCACCCCTGCCTCAGCTAATTCATTCTCAAGTTACATACTCAAGTTAGACTTCAGAAGATTGACTGAATCTTTAAAATTTAGTCTGAAAACCTCATGATAGGATCTATTTCCCCCACCCTTGAACTTGATTATTTATGTGGGCACATATCTACAATATATGGTTTTGAATTCTAGTCAGTAACAAAAACCTCACAAACTTTGAATTCAAAGGTCAAAATGTGCTAAGCATGGTGACATATGCCTATTGTCTCAGTACCCTGGAGGCTGAAGTAGGGGAATTGGGAGCTGGGGCTAGTCTGGGCTATACAGCAACACCTTGTCTCAAAAATAAAACTAAAATAATTCAGCCATGCCTATTGTCTCAGTACCCTGGAGGCTGAAGTAGGGGAATTGGGAGCTCGGGGCTAGTCTGGGCTATGCAGCAACACCTTGTCTCAAAAACAAAACTAAAATAATTCAGCTAGGCATTGTGACCCATACCTATAATACCTATATTTGGCCGGGCAGAAGCAGGAGAATCAGGAGGAGGTCAAGGCTAGCCTCAGCTACATAGTAAGTTTAAGGCCAGCATGTGCTACAGGAGACCCTGGCTTTAAAAAACAACACACACACACACACACACACACACACACACACACACACACACACACACCAATTGTGCATACCATTTGACACACTTAGAGGCAGATGAAGAGGGACAAGAATTAAAAAGTCAGCTTTTCCTTTGCTGGTGAACACCAGTTAATCCATTTCTCTGCTGAGGTTAACTGGACCATGACGTCTAAGGCCATGAATGAAAGCTAGTTCATCCTCAGTCATAGCAATTGGTTGAGTTGCTGGCATATGAGTGAGAATTGCTCCAGCTTTACCCGGGTACTTAGATCTGCAAATGGAAACAGTCCTCCCCTCAGAGACAAGCTACTTACTTCTCTCTGTCATCTCCCACTCTATCTTTGTGTCCTGAACCTACCTGATCCCAGCAGTGTGGTGCGTGGTCAAGAGGTGTGTTCAGATGCAACTACTGTGGGTTCAGGTGTCTCGCCAGACACCTGCAACTTCTCAACCAGGTATGTGCTTCCCTGTGCCCTGAGTCTGAGGCTGGCTTCTGTCACTTAGATCAGCAAATTCTTCAGGGTGGGTTGTGTAATTCCTTCAGCTTTTCAACCATGTCATGTGTCAAGTCCACTTAACTCCATCATCAAATCCAGAAAAGCAACCACAGACAAATGTGAAGAAACACACATGGCTGGGTGTCAATAAAACTTTACTGATGGACTCTGAAATTTGAATTTCGTGCAATTTCACATGACAAGAAGTATTTTTCTTTTGCCTTTCCACTCATTTTAATGTTGTGAGCGTCATTCTTAGCCCCAGCCTGAGAAAGGCGGGGCAGGAGTCTGTCAAACTGATCACACCCTCTCCTCAGGACTGTATGGTTTGTAGACCCCGTACCTTGGAATGGTAGGATACTACAACTGCTCTTCAAATTCGGCAGAAGTGAGTTTCTCTTTTTCTAAAATAAAAAGGGGCAGGAGCCTTTTCCCATTTGACTATAATGAATAGCTGTCAACCTCAAACAAATATCAGTGCCATATAACAGGCATAATTCTGCTAAACTAGGAGAATTTTCTCTCATTTTTTTCTACATTTTACCAGCACTTACTTCCCTTTCAAGCTACAAATATTCTCTTTTAAAATCTTTCAAACTGACAGAGACCTAAATAAATGTTTTATTTTTCTGTAGCTTGTTTAGGAAAGTTTAATAGCCCTTAGTCACATTTATACAAAACAGTGTTTTTGTAAGGCAGCGGCTGTTTTATAATTTAAGTGTGTGCAGAGATCTCACTTAGAAAAGTAGCTCTTCTTATGGCCCATCTTTCTAGCAGATGCTCCACCAGAAGTGAAGGGGCTAATTAGGCTGTCGGTGTTTGGTGTCTTACAATTGGTGTTTAGAATACCTTTCATTATTCAGGGAGAGTGTAGCATTCTTTTTTAAGCTCCGCTCTATTTTTAAGTCTGAATCTGGGTGTACATTTTAGAACACATTTTGTCTCTATATACCACAAACCACTATATATAAAACACAATAAGGCAATGTGGCATTTTTCAGAAAGGTGGGGCATATATCAAGCCAAGCCACGCCTTGTGGGTACATTCATAGACTAAAATGCTTCCCTTCTCAGAACTGTGTGTGTGAGTCTGGACACTAGCTGCCAGTATAAAAGCTTTGAGATGTGTTGATATGTGATAAGATGTAGTTAAGTGAAAATTCAAAGCTGAAAAACCATACAGTTAGCCTGGGCAAGCAAGACACTAATACAAACTCTTTAGAAGGTCCTCCAAGATTCCAGGCTGGAACCACCACTTCTCTGTGTTTTACTGGATTCAAGTTCTTGCTGTGCCCTTCCCTATTTCACTCTTGGTATCCAACTGCCCCTATGGGAACCTAGGACACCACCATATCAGGAGGGGAGATAGATCAGTGGGGAAGAAGGAGGAGCTCTAGGTCCACTTACTCTGACCCTCCCTATATTCCACAAAGATAGCTGCACTCATATGTGACACAGGTTTGGAGTCTACCATTTGGTGGGGGGAGGGGAGGGGATATGTCCGGACTTGGCCACTCAACCTCATTTGAAAACCACTGTCTGATATTCTTACATTTGTTTTCTCTACTCTGTTACCCCCAGGGACATAGTCTCTACCTTCTGAAATTTCACCTGCTAATATTAACTAAGACCTTTCCTCTTGGGAATTGAGAATATTGCCGAGGTCAGGTGCAGTGTTCATTTTAACCACACTGTAATTACCGTTATACAGGTGGTGTGTCCTGTATGAAGATATGTGACAGATATGCAGGGGGAGTGATTGTCCTGGGCAATGAGAGTAAGCTGGCCTTGCTCCAGCTCTGAGAATGAGTCAGTGGGACAAGCAGGGGCGGCTCTCTGAGATTCTGACCTTGGGGTCTGTGCTGTAAGCCATGGCCTCATTACACTAAGGTGACTCCTACAGGATTGGGCAATGCCATCTGGCATGAGAACTCTGAGGGCAGGAGGCTGGGGAAAAGAGCTGGACGGGGAGGAATGGAAGAAAGAAAAGAATGATGGGAGCGTGGACAAGAAGGGAAGGGGCTGGAAGGGGCTGCTCTAAATGATGGCCTGAAAGTGAAGGAAATGCTAAGGAAGGAAGACAGATGGTGAGGATTAACCATCACGATGGGGGAGGAAACAGGAAAGCAGAACATTGACACACTGAATGAACAACACAGATACTGCTGCAGTTAACAGAGAAAGGCTGGTCTTTCTTATAAATGATGCCAAATCAACAAAGAAAAAGGAAGTTCTATATGAAAAGACAATTCCACCATAAATTTAAAAAGTGATTCAGAGAGACCAGGTCTCAAAAAACCAAAATAATGATGATGATGATGATGACGGTGATGATGATGATGCTGCTGGTGGTGGTGGTGGTGATGGTGATGATTCAGAATGAAGCAGAGACCCAAATGTAGATCCAAGCTGTAAAACTTCCAGGAGAGAAGCCCTTAGTAACCATGGGGCTTACGCAGAGGAGTCCTTAAATATGACACAGAAATCATGAACTATCAAAAAGAGGAACAGGGCACAGACAAGACCATGCTAGTAGGGAGTTTAACATAGCATGCATGTCACATCCCCAGCAATACATACACTAAGTATGGTGTACGCCTGTAATCCCAGCACTGGGCAGACGGAGGCGGGAGGATCAGAAGTTCCAGGCTAGACTCAGCTCCATGAAAAGGTCAAGGCTAGTCTGTGTTGCACAAGAGTGAGGAGAGAGGAAGGAGAATAATGTTGGTAAAATGGTAGTCAGCACAGCTGTCAATCTCATCTGTGGATAACCAAGGGAAAGGGAGCTCAAAGTGAAGAAATGGACTTAGATTAGACTGGAAAATAGCCTCCCATTGGACTAGGTCATTGCAGGGGGTGGGGAGACTTTGGCAATCTCTATGCCTGGAAATCAGATACAAAAGGGCCAAAGCCTGTTTTCTTTACCCTGTTTGATAGGAAGGAGGCTAGGGAAGCTGGAAGAGGATCAAATGTGTTTGTCCTGCTCAGAACCCAGATTCCCCTCCCTGCAGCTCGGAGGCCACTGGTGTTTATCACTGCTTCCTAAAAGCCTCATCCATCTTCACTAGGACCCAGGACAGAGGCAGAGAGATGTTTCCGCCTTTTGTAGACACCCAGCCCAAGGCTGAAGGTACTGCATTTGCAGATTGGGGTAATGAAACACCAAACCCCATCATTTCTCGTTTGTTTCTCTCTGCTTCAGAAAATACCCAAGTGTGTACAGCTGTAAAACAACTATGTCACCTCACACATTCATTAACACCAATATCATTTATTCGCTGATGCTATGTGCAACCATTTGAGCCTGGGCAGAATAGGGGAAGGGAACCAAGGGAATCTGGGGTGTGTATGTAGCAGTCAGAAACACATGCATGAGACACGTAAACACCAGTAAGAAGTTCAGAAAATGCAGACACTCAGAGAAGAACAAGCGTGGTCGTTGAAGTCCCCATGGATAGTACCAGCTAACAAAACAGTGACAATGCTGACTGTAGGCTATTGGCACCAACTGTCAATCAGTCCTGAATGGTGGAATAGTATCACCAGCTTACAGGCCAAGAGACTGAGGCTTGGGAAGGCGCATAGTGTCGGAACTAGGAGTCAGTCTAAGTCCATTTGTCCTTCACAAGCCCTACTGCTATGCAACTTTTCTAGCCAGAGACTCAGAACCACCCCCAGGACTGTTTGCAACAGCTTTCTGATCCAGACAAGCTAGCTTCCTGACAGGGGAAGGCTTGCTAAAAGCAGACTTGGAGAGGAGAAGTATGTAGGGCCACCAGAAGCCAAGACTATGTATCCTGTGGTGTCAGGGTAGAGAAGCCTTGGCTGGGTGGTCTGACTGCCCTCTCCCCCCCCAGGCAAGTCAGTGGTCCAGGCCTCTGGTCTGGAGGCTGGTTCATGTCAGTCTGGCTGGCAAGGAAGCCTGGAGCCTCCCTGCTCCCTACCAATACATTTGAAGGACCCAGTTGAAATCTTCCCAAGGGACCATGCACTAACCAAGCAACCAGAAAGCCTGTCTGTCTTCCGTGTTTGTTACTGTCCTCACCCAGTTCCTCACGATAATGCCTTCCCACCTACATGCAGGGCACCTGCCCCGGCTCTGATGGTGGCTTTAGATCAGCTCCCCTTTAAGTAAAAAATCCACTGCTGGGCCTCCAACACTCCCATAGGGACTTCTGCATCCATCTGAAAACACGCTAGAACTTTTCTTTCTCAAATCTTAGTGGAAAATCACAAAGGTCTATAGGTTTTTATTCTTGCACACAAGGAAGGGCTTTTTACCAGTCAGTAAAGTAGAACCTGTGGTTATTAAAATATGTTTTTTTATGAACCCCAATGAGTGTATTACTCTGTCTCCTTAGATGTCATATTCTCTAGTCTGTTATGACTTCTAACTATCTGGGTGGTGCCTGGAACTATCTGAGTTTGGAACCTGTCTTAGTTTAAGTTTTTATTGCTATGAAGAGACACCATGACCATGGAAACTCCTATAAAGAAAACATTTAATTGGGGTGGCTCACTTACAGTTTTAGAGGTTCAGTCCATTATCATGACAGGGAGCATGGCGGTGTGCAGGCAGACGTGTGCTACATCTTGCAGGCAACAGAAAGTCAACTGTCAGTACCCTGAGCCTAGGAAACCTCAAAACGCACACACACACACACACACACACACACACACACACACACACACACTTCCTCCAACAAGGCCATACCCACTCCAACAAAGCCACAATACATAATAGTGTTACTCCCTTTGGGACTATAGTGGCCAATTGCATTCAAACTACCACTAGGCCCTAGGTTGGCAGTGTTGGGATGGTGCAAATTGGGAAAAGTGTAACCAGTATTGTTCAGTTACAGTTGTTCATGTAAACTAACACACTTTGTTGAGTGTTCGGTTCTAACATATTTTTTATTTTTATTTGTTGTCATTTTAAGCATTGGATTCCTTTTCTT